CACACACACACACACACACACACACACACACACACACACACACACACACAGTCCCCTCCCTCGCCGCAAGTCAAACTCTGCACTGCTGAAAAGTATTCCAGTCCTCTTGCTACAGTCAATGTCTAGTTGTGTTTTGGAATGGGGGCAAAAAATGAATCATGACCAACTGAATCCAGACAACTATATTAGGTCTCAGTGTTATCTGAGACTTTATAGGGGGGATGGAGAGTTATTTCAATAATCCTCATGACATCAAGTTCCTTCTCCTCACCACACAGTGGGTGTGGAAAGAGGGGTGGGAGAACTCACACTCACTTACATCAGCAAGTCAAATGTGTTCACTTGATTGGAGCGTGAGGGACTAATACCATTCATATCCAAATACAGTGTGAATAGTATGGCGTGTGCATGACTCCCTCTGATTTTTGCCAGTGCACCTCACGCCTTACCTACAGAACCCCATTCTATTCCACCTTCCCACTCTCCCAGTCAAATTCACTCCTAGCTTACAGCACCCCCTGTTGTTCAAGTGCCAAGCTCCCCAAAATTCTGCTAATGTAAGCTATTCCCCACCTGCCGCACCACCTGCTAGTCCAATCCTGGGCTGCAGTAGAACAGAAACTGCCAAATGGCTGAACTCTGTGTGCTGCTTTTATGATATGCACAACAGAAAACCGGCATGAAAACCCAAAGTCAAAAGAAAAACTCCCCCCCTCTGCCCCGAAAAGAATGCTGATACCTTTAAACTCAACAAATTCCTTCCCCCTGCAGATAGGATTAAGGAGCATCCAAATAGCAAAACTATATTAAAAGATCAGAACATCTGCATCTTGAAGACAATGAGACAGCATTTCACTCATCGTAATTACTTCCAGTTTAAATCACTAGCTAGGTGTGTTCATAACCAAACACCACTTTCCTGAAACAACAGCAGGGATTGAGAATGTTTGAGAACAATTATAGAGGCAGCCCTGGAGTTTCCAAGCCATGTTTCCAATGGTTTCCTGTAGTCCCAGACTGAACACTGTTTAATTTTAGAGCTCTATTTACTGTTTATTGCAATTTAGAGTTTTTATTCCACATCACCAGTTCCGTGAATTATTAGTGTCACTTTCATATTTATTTAGACATGGATGCAGGGCTAAACATTGGGTCAAAACAGGAATATACGTAAAAATCAGAGGGTGAATAGGCTTGCAAAATTAGCATAATTAACTGCTCTGATGTAGGTGAATTGTTTCATATATAGAACAAGTTATACTCTAGACCAAGGGCATGAGTGGGCATCATACAGAACAGAGAAAGGTGTTAAAATTATACAAAGGACTGATCCTGATTGACAACAGCTGAGGATCTGGTCCAAAAAGTCAACCACATCATTTCTGGTTTCAGAAATGATGTGGGCTGGGTCTCCCAATACTGGTCCAGTGAATCAAGATACAAGATCAGCTTATTGATTCAGCATGTCCAATGACTTATGCTGAACAGTGGTCAGGGAAGCAAAACCATCCATGCTAGCTAGCTAGGCTGTGCTGTGCAGGGGTCGGGTGAGAGTCTAATTCCACCTTATGGATAAACAGATGACAGTTGTGTACGTACAGTGAATCCTTTGCTTTGCATTGGATGTATTAAAATAGTCTGTGGTTATTCCTTCTGGCTGCTGGAAATTCTTCAGTGAGTTATTAGAGTACAGTGCTGACCATGCACCCTTCTAGTCTATTATCCTGCAGCATTTCTCTGAGTCTCATTTGAGCTGGAGTGAATTCCCAGTATTGCTATAATTCTGTCTCAAGGAACAGAGTCCAAACATACATCTGAACAGTCTGACGTCTCTCTGCTGCTCCCATCTACTGTTAGAACTAGTGTCTCTGCGTTTCCTGCATTCCCTGAGCATCAATATTTAATAGCCACAATGATGCTGTGTTAAGAATTAATTTAATTAATCCAAATGCCACCAGACAGTGTGCAGGTGAATTTGAAGGCTAAATGGTGCTTTGTATGTGCATAGCTGTGACCACTGGGAGCTGGAATCATATCAAATCTCACATGGCTAAGCCCAGGCTGGCTTTGTGGGTATTCAGATGGGGGAAATTTCCAGGATCCTATAAGGAAGCAGTGTAGGTAGTTCAGTAGGTGATGCTCTTCCCACTATCATGTACATAGTGCTTCATGCTAGGGGGTGCTGTGCTGCCTGAAGCTCTGGGTTTCCCTGTTGTATAAAACCCTCAAAAATCTCTTGGGCCTAAAGGCAGACTCCATCCAGAAGTAGCTGCATTTCAGTGATGGGTACAGTGATCCACTGAGCCTTAAGAGACAGAATTTCCAGAAATTGGGGCCAGATATTTTCATAGGAGGTCAGCCCCCAGCAGCGTCCCAGAGAACATAGATTAATGTATTTACTTGACTGATCTATAGCGCCCCTAGCGGAGTGATTTGATGGTGCATCTCCCAGGGTGTGTCGTCATCTTTGGTTTGGGTGGAATCCATGCCCTCCCCCTCGAGCCCTGCGTTCGTAGTCTATATGGTGGTGATGTCCCACTTATGAGTTTTCGTTGGTCATCTCCACTGACCATCACCTGCTTCTTCTCAAGTTTGCATTTCATGCATCTTGCCCAGTCTCCCCATTGGGTCTTCATGATTAGCTGGCATAAGGAAAAACAACCTCTTCCCTGTG